TGGTGAACCGATTGAGAGATTGGATAGCAGCTGGACAGCAAGCCATTGACTTTGACGCATCCTATGGCATCATTATACAGAATGCGCACCCACTTCCTAAAATTCCATCCCACTCCCATCTTTTCCATGTTTGTGTCGAGGAAAGCCCAGTTGACCTGGTGGTAGGCATCGTCAAAATCGAAAAAAAGAATTGCTGTGTTTATCCTTTTTTCTCTGACTTTGTTGGCCGCTTCGTTGAGGGTCATCCCAGGGATGAAGCCTGTCTGGTCTATATGAAAGCATTTGTCTGTCAGGTCTAGGATTCTGAAGGCAAGAGCTTTGGCTACGAATAGTACGATCTTACAAGGAAGGGTTAGAAGCGAGATGGGCCTGTAATTCCTGATATCTTCTTTCTCCCCTTTTTTGTACAACAAGGTGACCACACTGCTACTCAGTAAGTTTCCCAGTCCACCCTTCAGCCAACTGTCATTGTAGAAGTTTAGCAGATCGCCCCCTAAGAGCGGCCAAAACTTCTCGATTTATGTGTGTCACCCTTGCGCAGGGGCCATGCTACTCTTCTCTGTATCGTTCCAATTTAAAATATGTCCCGAAGGACACCACAGTGATTGGTACTACACTTTCCGGCACCAAATTCAGTACTTGTTAGAACATTCGCTCCCTGCGGTGTGAAAGGATGGCAGGCAACAAGGTGTGCCCACCATCACACAAGAGAATACTTCCTCTAACGTATTGCACCACACTGTACGAACAGATTCAATCACAATATTCCCCCGAAAGAGGTACAGCCAAACACTAAAAAAGTTGCAGCATACCAACAGGCCTAGCTCATTGTTGAAGTACAGACCCAGGTTGGAATCAATAAGCAATGAGATGAACAGAACTGGACAATAATGAATTACCTGGGGGCTGGTCAGTTCGATGATGATATTTCAAGGCCATCTCCCTTTTAAAAAAACAGATGATAAGCTAGAGTACAGTCTTCACCCAAAAATAATGGCCGGGCGTTATATTCGACTTATTAGTAGTTATTAGTAACTTATAAGTTATTACCCTTGAAAAATCAGATTTTTCTTTTTACTCACTTTTTCGTGGATGCTCGGGCGTTGTATTTAAATGCCAGGGGCAGAATGCCTTGTAGAGGGAGTATACATAGGTTTTAAAGAGGGGGGGGGAGGGGGTATACATGGGTTTTAAAGGGGGTTGAAAGGGGGTTTTACTTCCAAGGGGTATGTTTTGGTTTGATTTTTTTTGTGCTCTTTTTTTCCCGGAATTTATAAGGAAGTGTCCCTCAGCCAAAAGTTGGTTGCATTGCAATTCTAGACAACATATGTTTTTTTACAGAAATTTCAAATTTCTGTTTTTTTTTTTTTTTGGTTGGTTGGGGGTTAGGGGGGCACCGCCGAAGTTGCTACCAATTTACTGAATATAACGCCCGGGGACCCGAGCGTCATAAAGGACTATAAACGTCCACCAGGTGTTATATTCGACGCCCGGGCATTATTTTCGGCTGAAGACAGGCGGTCACATCATAGTGAGTCCAGCTGCTTCTCCGTTGCTGAATTGATTGGCAGAGGCGAGAGCTGGGTTTCTTTATCCAGACTCCACACACCTCAGTGTTCAGTCACTTCAGTGTGTTCATCATGCTTTTGGTATGCTTGCGGCCTAGTCGATTCTGCGTCCAGTTTGGTCTACTCATGCATTGTTTTCAATCGGCTCTTGCTGTTCGAGATTCTTGTGTTCTCACATGCCAGTTCCAACGTTCTTTTTTTTTTTTACCAACAAAATACACTTGGCCCTTCTATTCTTGGGGGTCAGTCCAGTTACTTATCACCGGCAAGTATATGTTTATACAGCAAGAAAGAGGAGTGATCAGAAGAAAAAAAGTCTCATCCACCCTTGTAGCTCTAGCCGCTCACCCAAGGGGGGGCATAATTTTAAGAAGTGACAAAAAAAAAAAGTTAAAAAAAAAAACAGAAGAAAAGCAAAAGTACCTGAGATTCTCAACGTTGTCATACGGAGAGTGGTAAAACTGCCCATCGAGTATGAACGCAATGTCGACCCCCGGTATGTCCCCGAACTCCATCGAGAACATCCTGAAGTCAGTGTCTCCCAGAACATATGGCATGAGATCCTAACAAAGAATTCAACCAAGCCCACACGATGCTCCACCCCACTCCCCCCCCGCCCTCCAAAAAAAAAAGAGAGAAGAAAAAGATAACACATTGAAAAAATGAAAAGACAATCTATCAGCCCTCACGAAACTCAATCGTATCGGCTCACACTGACCGATATAGGAGAAAAAGCCTCAACAATGGCAACCACTTCTGCGAAGAGCAAACAAGGCCAAGACGAGGGGTCAATGCCAAGGGACCAAGCAATAAGCCAAGTCTCAAAACAACTGAGATGGCGTGAAGTTCTTCCTTCTACTGCAACAAGCTGGCCAGAGAGCAGAGATTTAGGAGAAGAGAGAGCAATCGAAGACACGGAGGAACCGGAAAACCAGGGACCAGCATTTTACTCAGCTAATCATTCGCGTGCCCCATTGCTCAGCTACGCCACCCATACAGCACTGCAGCCACCTCTCCTGGCTCAGCCCAGCATTGCCCTGCCCAATAGTTCATCCATCCATCAATCCATCCATCCCATATACCAGTCCTATGCCTCCCTCCATCCATCCTATCCCTCCATCCCTCCACCCATGCATCCATCCACCCATCCACCCATCCATCCATCCGTTCATCCCCATGCCATCCACCCATCCATCCACCCATCCATCCATCTCATCTGGATTCAAACTCAGGTTTGTATTTCAATAGGTCATTGGTGTACCAACTGAGCTAGCCCCATTCATCCATCTGTTCACTGTCTGCGCAGGTGGCACATTCTTTTCTGTTGTCTTCCTTTCAGAGGCCTCACATGTCCTCAATGACTCCTCATGCTGCCGCTCACAGTATTTGATTTGAGGGAAACTTATGGATTGCATTCATTGTTCATGAGTTCATTATGTAAGCAAAGGTCCCCCACCTGAGAGATGGATGAGGCACTCGGATGGACAGCATTATCCGCATACACCTGTGCTGGCCAAGTACCAGGTCCAAACCGGAACATTACATCTGAAGTAAAACATTCCAAAACAGAAATGCAAACTATCAGAAGAGACAAACTCTCAGCAAGACAAACTGTCAGAGAAACAATATATCAATCAGAACGACATCTTCTTCACTAGAACGGTAGAACCATAAAATGTGAAAACCACCAGCTCTATGCCAGATGGCTGATCACTCAAATTTGTTCATTTCCTCGCGCACAGCAATGAATGATAAATCAGGGGTGATGCTTTCCAGATGTTAGACTTAAACCACCAGCTCGAGCCCCAGGCAAGCGAAGAATGGACAGCGCACACAGAGGCCAAGGAAAGGTCCAGGCAGCCGAACCCCCATAGGGTGTACCCGAGAAGTACCTGCTATGTTGTTTGTCATTGAACTTCTCTCTGTACCCTTTGAGTACTGTTGTTGATCGACGCTCAGCCCCTCCTGCCAGGTCCCATGGTGGGGCCCAAATAGACATTAAGATGCAGCCTGGTGTCATTTCTTCCATCGCAATCTGTTATCTGCTATCGTTGCCACCTTGCCCTTTAGCAGCCATTCTTTCTTGAATGTCTGCTTCCTGGTTGCTTGTCTTTCTGGTCTGTGTTGAGTAGAGGTCACTATTCTCCGCCATCTGCTCCTGATTTCCGTCTCTGCCATGCTCAGCAGTAGAGACCACATTTCTTCCTTTGCCACCTCTGATCCCTCGATTGTCCGGGTGCACCTTCGCTTCCATATTRCCCACAGGCCCAATTTCCTGAGCAAGTGGAACCAGACTTCCCTGCTGCCCTTGATGTTGCTGGGAGTGTTAGATAGCAGTAAGATGGAGAGGGTAGGGATGTTGGGGGGGG